CTTGATAGTAACAAAGGCTGATACAATTTATAATGAGGGGCTCAAATTTATTGCTGGATATGTAGCGTATCGATTTAAAGACAAGTATCCAAATTTAAATTTGGGGACTCACACCAAACGACTGGTTCAAACAAATAGAGCCCCAGATTGGATTGAATTTATTTCCAGAGGTCACCTTATATATCCAAATGAAGAATTGATACAATTGGCATATTTAACTGAGTCCGAATTCCAAAAATTTGATAATAATTTCTTCTCAAAAGAAAAAAATATTTTTAATAAATTGTTGGAGAAAATTAAGAATGCTTCTGTTTCAAATAAATTTCCTGATGAAATTATATTGTGTTTAGTTAGGACAAGGACATATATCAGACTAAGGCATTTGAATAAAAAAATTAGTTTTGAAAACAGTAAACGTAAATTACAAAAAAAAATGTCCAAATTTACCAACAATTAAAATAAATATCAAGGTGAATTAAAGTCCTTTGAATCTCACAAGAAATGTAATAATTTTTTATTTAAAAATTATTGTACGACCGGTTTTCAAGATACTTCTCTTCTGGCACGTCATACTTTCCATCCACTAGGATTTACTAGATAATGAAGTTGTAACTTCAAAACTGGTCGCACAATATTTGTTTTATTATCACCTTACCTCATTATTATATAATAAATGTCATTGTTCTGGATAATTTTTTGTTTTATTTTCACTTAAAAGAGCTATTTATGTAACTAGTTACGATTTTTTTGCCCACCCACAAAAAAAAAATGTTTTTTTGGGTTCCTACGAGTTCCCAGACGCTTGGAAAACTTTTCGCAGTCGGCCAAAAAAACATCAGACATTTCATACTTCGATGATAAAGGTACTATAAATTTTGTTTATTTTCTTTTCGTCGCTGTTGACATAATGAAGTTTTTTTAGGGCTATATGACAAACCTTCATTTTTTGAAGTGTTATATGGTATATTGTGTGACGTGAAAAGAACAATTTAATTTCCTTATCTGATAATACAAAGAAATCTCTAATTATTTTAATAAACTCATGTGCGCTCTGCAATACCCAATATTTTAATAATTATTTAAATTAGAGCTGTCATTTTAATTTTATAGCCATACAAAAAGTATACTGTTTAACTGGCAAGGAATACTCATTTCCTGCGGCTCAAACTGCAAATATCATACTTGCAGGAGATTAGTATTTATTCTTGGTCGTTTAAACAATATACTTTTCATACCCAATTACGAAAATCAGATCATTTTAATAGTTTTTGCGATTAAAAAAGATGCCATTATTAAGCAAATATAATAATCAAAGAAGATTATTCTATAACTGCACCTGATTATTAATTTATTGAATAAAAATTGAATATTACAGTTACGTTCCCTATACTACTACATGATAATGCCGCTCGAGTTTCTCGTTGCTGACGTCACAGCCAGATGCATAGATGCGCGTAAGCACACCATACTATATTCACACCACGGATGTAAACAACCCCTTTTACTTTAGTCCGGCAGCTGATATAGGAATTT